GTGGCATAAATTGGACCAAATAACAAAACTTCGGTATAAACTTTTATTAATAAATTTGGATTTAATCGGCTGTAATTCAGCAACCGAATAACCCAATTTAGACTAGTGTTCATAGTTCCCAATATGCTCTTGAAAGAACTTTGTATATACTTCCAAAACATTTTGAAATCTTGAACTCAACATATCCCTAATAATGCGAGATATCTGACTGTCCTATTTCTTTTTGTCAAACTATAAAGCGAAGGTCTGGCATAGTTTCGGGATCAAGTTGTTTGGCCAGATTGTTAAGAGTAAATAACCAACAGCAAGAGCATACATATTTTGCCATAGTTTTTAGATATTATTTGGATTTAATGTATGAAAGATGACAAACAAAAGTACATACAGTATGCAAAAAGATCACATCAACAAGATCAGTCACGTATGTACGTTAATCAGTTTACACGACATAACATGACACAACATAACATGACACAACGCATATTATATAAAATGTTTTAGCCAATCAAATCACTTTGTACCATTTTCCGCCGATCCTTGTGCCAGGCACAAAGTCTAAAACATTTTATGCAGAGATCGTCATAGTAAAATTACCTTTTATATCAATGTACTTACCATATATAGTAATGGCACGAAGATCCGGCACAAAGTTGGAGGTAATACTTTAAATATTAAAAAAATTATTAAAAAATAATTTTTTTTATCTATTAATTAAATATATATTTATTTGTATTTTAATTTAAAAAAAAAATATATTATTATATTATACAATTAATAGTAAATTAATTACAATTATTTAAATTTTATTAGGTGGTCCTAAACTTTTGGCCAAATTCAACAAGCGATCATAACTTTTTCTTGTTGAAGAACCGTTTTTGATCTATAATATACAATTATTTCATAAATTAACTGATAATCAATTCAATTTATTATCCGATCTATATTAATCACTTGATATATCACAAGGTCTTATGCCGGGGATACATTAAAAGGGGAGGATTTTTACCGAAAATTATTGTACCTTCAATGCTTAAGTACATAAACCAAGTTGACATAAGATTTTCGCCCTACTCCTATGCTTCCAAATCAGCAAGGTAAACAAATAAATGGTATTTATTAGCCAACTTGTGTTATACTTTAACGTTTTAAAGACTTTTTCTTTCGAGAATTATGACCGACAAATCGCGTCTTGCCAATCCCAACGCCGTTATAAACACGAAAGTGCTCGCTGATATAACAAAAGAACCCAAAATCAGTATTATTTATCGTAAGTGTTTTGAAAGAAAGTCAAACTTTAAGATAGTTAACATCTTTGATCTTTAGGCGACGGTACGAAGTTGAACATTCGAGCAGGCAATAAAAAACTTGTACAGTAAGGATCGAGCGTTTGTCTTTTTTTTTCTTGTCATGTCTTTAATAGAATTTCTATTATTATTCAAGCGTTCTGGCCTTGGTTGAAAAACATGCGCGAAAATTGCGAGAAGAGGAGGATTTTGCGCCTTGATATGACTGATTTATATTCAAACGTATATTTTAAAACTAATAAATTGATAAGATTATAATCTAAATTTTTATTTATTCTTGTGGCGCAGAATTAACAATATGCTAGATATGTTTATAAATTCTTGAAAGAAAATAATATTAACTATTTTAAACATATTAAATCCATTATAATATGAAACTTGAAATCAATTGAGTTTTTTATATAATTTAATATTGTATAATATTAATTATTTAAATAAAAAACTGTTTATTGATTTTTTATTAAATTAAATTAAAATATTATTATTATTTTTTTTTTTTAATTGGTCAAGGACATTAAATGCAAGGTTTTTATTGATAATTAATATCCTACCATTATATCAAACATCTTTACAAACTAGACTATTGCTATTTTAGATATAAACTAATACTATCTAATAAATATTATTTTCAATACTATTGGTTTTCCTTGAGTCAATTCAACTACCTTAATTAATTAACTTGCATTTTGAAGATAGGTCCCTAAACTGTTTAGCATATAAATTTTATAGATTAATTATGTTCTTTTTGAAGAATACATAATTAATTTTAATAGGAACAAAACTTAAAAAAATACTTAAATTCAGTGATTTAAATTATAAAAAACTTTTGTATATAGTTTATTATTATTATTATATTTTTTAAAAAACTTTTTTAATAATAAAGAATATTTGAGTTATGTTTTTGCTCTTAGTTTAGGGACCTAACTTTAGTTAATATCCAGGTAAAACTTATACAAAAAGAGAAAATTTTATCATTAGTTTAAATCTACTCTCCTATTGATTTAATTATATTTTTCAACTGCTTGTTAAGAAAAAATTATATGAAAAATTATTATAGAAATTAATCCCAATTATATTAATTATCTATTATTACTAATTCTTAAGATGTGCCATTAGTATAATGTAGCACTACTGTTTTTATTACTTGTGAAACTGGCATCCTTGCTTAAATTCTAATTTAATCTTGTGTAGTCTTTACTAAATATACTTGGTTTAATAATTTTTATTTAGATTTTTACTATTTATAACTAATATCTTATTTTTTAATTATATGATTAAGTTTTGTAAAATATCTAAAACTTTGAAAAATACTAAACTGATATCAAACTAGTATTGAAATAATACTGATCTATAGTAAATTTAATATATGAATTGTGATTTACTTATATAAATTTATAGTAAATTTAAGTATTAAATTAATATTAAAGTAATATTGAAATAATATCAAAATAATATCATTAGGAGATTTAAGAATATTATAATTGAAATATATTTATAAGTTTTATATTATATCAGGAAATTTTTTTAATAAAGATCTTTAAAAATTTGTAATATAAAAATTTAAAAATCTTCGAAGTAATAATGATTTTTTTTTTTTTTATATTTAGCTAGCTGGACCATGCTTATGCATTTATTTATTTAATTCACATATGCTTTACATCATGTGTTACAGGATAAAACTACTTATGAATTATTCTAGAAATCACTAGACTATATCAGATTTTACCTCCATGTTGACTTGTTGCTATTGACTGTACATTTGAAGATTTACATATGTCAAGGCTAATATACTAAAGTTTTATCAATGCCGTTATTATATATGAAAGGTTCTATTTCTAACTAGGAATGTATTAAAGGGAAGTGTAAAGAAGGGAATTAGGAGTAGTACCTATTAGGCGAATAGAATCCTGCAAAGAAAATCCTTCTAAATCCGATCACCTGCAGCTAGGTATATTATTTAATTTCCACCTTCCTAAAGCTATCCAAGAATGTTCAAGAAATTTATCTTATAGATTTACTGTCTATAGATTATTTCAACTATTGGTACTTATTGCCATTTTGACTACCTTCCTAGAATAAGTAACTGTTGGAGCAATCTATTACTGAATTGAAATAAGGCCTTTTCGAAAACTTGTAGAAAGAGATACCAGGTATTATAGGAAAACAATCATCAAGTCAACTTACTGAAAGCAGATATCTTATACACCTTACAACTTCTGACAATCATTATAACACCAACCAGATAATTGTTGTGCTACAACACTTTTTCTAGAAATCACAATCCTAACGCTCACTGGATCAGCATGTAAAATAGCTTCTCATGGGAAACAGCGCTTTTACAGGTTATGGTGCCAGATACTATATTGATTTTATTTAATCGTCCTTATATAAGGTTGAACTGGTATCATGTAATTTAACCTGTAGAATATTAACTACTACACTATTAACCTACAGGTCCTCAAAATAATAATAATTATATTAAAATAAATAGTTATTTAATAAATATTCATTATTTTTATCAAATCTTGAAATTATATAAATTAAATTATTTATTGCTCTTATATTTACAAGATTATATATATCTGTTAATTTAAGATATGCATATTCATATATACAGTATATATAATGATTTTTTTAATTTAAAATTATACTATTGTACTAATACTAATTATATATCAAAAAATTTTTAATATAGAAATTTTTAAAATAAAAAACTTAAGAAATTTTTATTTTAAAAAAATTTAAAAAATCTTTAAAATGATAATAATCATATTAAAATAAATATTTATTTAATAATATTAATTACTTTTATCAAATCTTAAATTTATATAAATTAAATTATCCATTGCTTTTACTGTATATCTATTAAATTATATATATCTGTTGATTTAAAATATACATATTCATATATATATGATAATATTTTTAATTTAAAATCATACTATTATATTAATACTAATTATAATGAAAGTCTCTAAATTGTTCTATTTATATTTATTATTAATAAAATCCAAAACAATTATATTAGTTTTAAAATAAAATAATATTTATATTTTAAATAATTATAATTACTTTCCATAATAGATTCTATTATCTGTTATATAATTATATAATTATTTTTTTTTTTAAAATTACTAAAGTGAGACAACACTCTAGGCCAGTTTATTTATAAATAGGTCCTTACATACAAAGTATATACAATGTTAATCTATATTAAACCTATATATAACCTAGAATCTACCCACAGGCCATCAGGCCATCTGGGTATAGTTTGCCACCCAAATATTTTCTTACATCTTCCAGTCACAAGATGTAAACCCTTCAGTAAGGATCTTTAACACTAAATAGATTAACCATCGGAGTACAGAGTTTCTGTCCTTTCCGGTTTTCTTCATAAGATGTTAGGTCTGGAGGATCACCATTTGGAAAGCAGATGAAACCTATGGCCAGGACATAGTACAATACCTTTTCAACCCACAGGGTTAGCAATCCAATTCCTTTTTAGATAATGCCAGGCTTTAAGCTATGGTTCCGAAAATTGGAATCGAATAGAATCGAACAGAATCGCATAAGGTTCGAAACACTATTAAAAATGATGGTG